TTGTAACTTCTGCATCATTGTATACACCATAAACAGTCATACAAATAGTTTTATCTAAGATATCACAATCACTAAACGATGAAGTGACAATATTTTGAGTGTAGTTATCGAAGAATTGGACTGTATTGAACCCTAATAAAGTTAATATCAATACTATCATAAGGGTAAAGCAAAAAATATTTCCTTGAATGAAAAATAATAACAGAAGCAATGTTAGTCACGTGGCAGGCTATAAAGACAGAGTCTTTTATCCTCTGTGCTAAATAAAATAGTTGCAATCGTCGGTTTTTCCTCAGTGAATTCTGTTCGCATTCCTTAGAGAAGTCCTTTGTATTTTCAGAGCCTGTAGAATCAGTTAGTATAGAGTTCGCTTTTGATAAGATTGGTTCGAATTTCACGATAAGTTTCACGATAAATTTCAAGATAAATTCGCGGTATCTCTCAAAATGCCCTTTCGAAAAACGCTCGACATCTTTTAGTGTGGCTATACGGCGAATGGTGTGTGGATTTGTAAGAGATTTGAGCATGTTTGAAGTTGAATTCATGTCTTCCATCTCGTATAAAGACGACACCTCGACAACACCATAAGATAGCACATGGAAGTTGTGAATGTCACGTGATTCGTACCCAGTGCATTCTAATTTGGCCGAGACAATTTGTGTACCAAATGCGACAAAGAAGGCCGAAAGCTAAACTCGGCGGTTCCACAGGAACCCCGAGTAATTACCTCTATTTTTCACACCGCGTTAAATATTTATCATATTAATTACCTCAATGCCATCTTTTTTCCTTGTAGCTGCGTAGACCGTTCCAAACGAGCCTCGTCCAAGAATCTCCCCAAGATCATACTTCATAAGAAATGCATCTTTCTTAACGGTTGCTTTTCAAAAGAAAAGAAATAAACAATGATAAATGCGTAAAAGATTTAATAAAATAGTTTTATGACTAAATAGAATTATTATTGCTAACCTTCTTTAAAGTAATAATTATTGTAATTGAAACTAAGATATTTACATTAGTGTGCTACAATGTCGTTTGCTAGAGAGGAGGAAACAGTAGCATCCTACAATGCATTGCGTTTCAGACTAAATTGGATATTTTTACATGACGTCATCACTTGTTTTTTCGTCTGGTCGCTTGCTATACATCCATCCTCAACGTTAGTTTAGCAACACCTCACAGAAACACTGTATAACGCGTGAAAAAACATTGTACCTTTGGAGTACACTGAAGTTTCGGTTTAGGCATAGTGTAGCCTGCACTCATTCTACCTACGTATCTTACTTTACCAGCCCTTTTAACATTGTAATGTTGAATGCATTAAGTACCAACCTCTAACGGCTCGTAGGACCTTCCTGGCCTTGCGCGCTCCCTTGCTAATGTGCTTTTTATTATTCTGCTTGTTCTCGAGACTTTCGGGTTTGAATCCAGTGGAAATGGGGATGAGACACTGTAATAATACAAACAAGATGCTCACATGATGAATATAAGAACACGCGTTGTGCATGCACACATTATAAGGCGTATGAGAGGAGAGGGGATTCACAGTCCTATAAGCTCTCTGTTACTTCAGAGTGGCGAAATTAAGAAGGCAATCTGTAAAACAAAATCATGCCCCTAAAGGCTGATTTACACGGTACGATTTGTCGCGCGCAACTTGTAGTGTACGATTTTCCTACTACAAGTCGTAGGTTGCGTACGACTGTTGTAGACAAGTCGTAGGGGCATTTACACTGCGCGATTCAAGTCGTATACTACAAATCGCACGAGACAATCGTGCCGTGTAAATCAGCCTT